CATGTCCGCAAGTTGAAGGTCAGTGTGAATCTTAACCGGGGATATGTGACCAAGCTGGACCCGCTCTCGAAGAAAATGACAATCTATCTCGACATGTTTGGTCCGTTCATGGAACACCCGATTATTGGCAATGTGAAGAGCCGCCTGATTGTCACAATGCAGGGTGGTTGGTGTAGTCTGAGGAACACCGAGCTCTTGGAGTAACCAACGTAGCCAGATAACTTCACTAACGGTGCTGGCCATAGCTCGGTATTCAGCCTCGACCGACGATCAAGCTACCACCTTCTGCTTCTTGGTACGCCAGAAAATGGGAGCTCCTCCCAAGCTAACAAAATACCCTGTGGTAGAACGGCGAGTACGCTGACAGCCGCCCCAGTCAGCATCATAATAAGCAGTGAGATGAAGTGAGTTTTTCTTCGGAAGGAAAAGACCTTGACCAAGGGACGACTTCAAGTAACGAAATACTCGGAGGGCCGCATCAAGGTGCATCTGACAGGGAGCGTGAACAAACTGACTTAAAATGTTCACCGCATAAGTGATGTCTGGTCGCGTCACTGTCAAGTAAAGAAAGCGACCAACAAGACGACGATAGGAAGAAGGGTCGGCCAAGAGATCGTCACTCAGGCGTGTTAACTGGTGGTTTTTCTCCACCGAAAAAGAACTAGGCCGTGACCCCTCCAACCCTGCATCCTCCAAAATATCTAGTGCAAGCTTACGCTGACTGAGGAAGAGACCATCAACAGTACGAGCAACCTCAATGCCCAAGAAGTAACGCAAGATGCCCATGTCCTTGATGCTGAAACGTTGATAAAAAAAGGTCTTCACACGAGTGATGAATGGTAAGTCATTTCCAGCTAGGATGATGTCATCGACGTAAATCAAAGCCGTTACAAACGTGCTCCCCCGCTGATATATAAAGAGAGCCGCATCTGCAGGTGAGGCTGGGAACCCAAAGTCACATAGAGCAGTGGTGAATTTTTGGTACCACTGACGCGATGCTTGACGCAGACCATAAAGAGATTTGTTGAGGCGACATACACTGATACACGCGTGTCACCTGGCTTGCGAAACCCAGGAGGGATCTCCATATAAATTTCTTCGTCCAAATCGCCATGAAGGAACGCATTGTTAACGTCAAGCTGATGGATGTGCCATCCTTTACTGACGGCAACAGCAAGAAGACAGCGAATGGCGACCAACTTGGCAACAGCTGCGAAAGTATAACATGCCCGAGTGACGATCTCTTGGCCGACCCTTCTTCCTATCGTCGTCTTGTCGGTCGCTTGCTTTACTTGACAGTGACGCGACCAGACATCACTTATGCGGTGAACATTTTAAGTCAGTGTGGTCACGCTCCCTGTCAGATGCACCTTGATGCGGCCCTCGGAGTACTTCGTTACTTGAAGTCGTCCCCTGGTCAAGGTCTTTTCCTTCTAAAGAATAACTCACTTCATCTCACTGCTTATTGTGATGCTGACTGGGGCGGTTGTCAGCGTACTCGCCGTTCTACCACAGGGTATTTTGTTAGCTTGGGAGGAGCTCCCATTTCCTGGCGTACCAAGAAGCAGAAGGTGGTAGCTCGACCATCAGGCGAGGCTGAATAATGAGCTATGGCCAGCACCGTTAGTGAAGTTATCTGGCTACGTTGGTTACTCCAAGAGCTCGGTGTTCCTCAGATTACACCGACCACCCTGCATTGTGACAATCAGGCGGCTCTTCACATTGCCAATAACCCAGTGATCCATGAACGGACCAAACATGTCGAGATGGATTGTCATTTTGTTCGAGAGCGGGTCCAGCTTGGTCACATATCCCCGGTTAAGATTCACACTGACCTTCAACTTGTGGACATGTTCACCAAAGGCCTGGGGAGTGACCGTTTTCATTTTCTTCTCTCCAAACTGAACGTTCGTGACCTTCACGCTCCAGTTTGAGGGGAAGTATTGGGCCGAGACCATAGTCCGCAGCCCATGAGAACCATGGAGCAGCCCACGACGTCAGCCCATACAGCCATGCTATCGACGTCGTCTCCTTGCTCTACAGGGAACCAATTTTCAGTTCTCTCAACCCTAGTAGATGATGATGTAAAGGGTATAAATATATGTAAGGCTGCTTGCAGCCGATGCAACTGATCAATAAAAAGATAATCCTTCTCACGTGGATGTAAGCCTCACACCCTGTGAGGAAGAACCGCGTTAAACTCCTTGTCTCGTTTGATTATATTTTACATATAAAAGTATAAATACAGGGAACCGTAGTAATAATACCCAATTCAAACTATTGAGAGAGTTCTGTTTGCGAACTCGGTCCAATCGACTCAGCCTATTCAGATGAGACAGCATAACAGGGGAATTGGTGTTACGCCTGCTGCTCCGCCGGTGACGGCGGATGGTGGTCAGGAGTCGGAGAAGAAGATGATGAATTGGCTCCAGGATTTGAAGAAGCACATTCTGGACGATGATGACAACAACGACGACGAGAAAGGATGCGGCGGGGACGTTGTTTCCGTTATCACCAATGCCAACAACGATTGGTCGGAGACGATTCAAAATCTCATTTCAAAGCGCTTTTGGATGAGGTCGCAAATGATTCGTGAACTGAGAAATTATGGAGCGCGAATTAATGAAAGAGGGTGCGGGAATTATTACAAGCAGAATTCCACTCTCATATTTTGTTGCTTTCTTGTATAGCTTGGTGAGGCGGAGGGATCTGAGGTTTTTGTTGCTTTCTCGTATTGCTTGGTGAGGCCAATTATACTGACACAAGTCAATTATTACTTTATTACTTTGAAGTTTCACATTGCTCTGTCCTCATGATTTGTCGTCAACACCGTTTGTCCATTGTAGCTTCCATGCTCTGTTCACTCTGGCCGGCCGCAATTGACCGCCGATTGTAGCTTGATAAAGTTATTTCGGCGCAAACTATTCATTGGCCGCACAATTCTTCAAATGGGAAGAGGAAATGAAAAATAGTGACCTCCGGTTGTGTAAGTAATTTGACGGAGGAATTATAATTGGGAAGCTTGACGGAGGTTGGGAAGAAGAATAATCTGATTGTCTTTTTGGTGTGAGGGAGAAATGTTTCTGTTGGTGAGAGGAAGAAGAGGGGGAAAGAAATGGGGAAGAGGACGGTTAAAGTTAGGGGTTCATTTGCAATTATAATAAGTTCAAATTATTTTAATAAATATAATATAATTTATTAGCTAATATTTAATTATAAACAAATCAAATTATTGTAACCGTTAGATGTATCTAACGGTTAAGATTGAACAAAAAAGTGAGTGCGGGTGCACCGAAGTAGCCACCATATATATTGAAGTTCTCTGTACAACTACAACCGCTATAACTAATTACAAAGTTACAACGAGAAGTAAAACTAATTAATGAAAACAACCAATAAGAACAAGACATGTTGCACTATACAATAAAAACGGGTTAATTGCAAGTTTGGTCACTCGAATTGCTATAAAATTTCACGTTTGCCACTCAAATTAATTTATTCCATTTATAGTCACTTAAATTAGGTTAACAGTCCAAGTTTGGTCACTGGCCATTAGTCTCCGTTAACTTTTGCTGATGTGGCAGTCAACTCTTATAGTTGACCGTTAAATGCATGACGTGGCAATTAAAAAATTAAAAAGTTAAAAAATTTAAATTTCCACCTCAACTATTAAAAAAATAAAAATAAAAATCTTTTCTAATCTAACCTCGGCTTGGGTTGCTCCTGGAATGTACCGGGCCAAGACCCGACTCGGGTTGGAGCGGTGACAGGGAACTCGGCCAGTGATGGGATAATGGATTAATTCGCTAAATACAGATAAAACTAAAACAAATTCCTAAACTACCACACTTTTAAAAAAATTTCCCAAAATACCTAAGTTTGGAGTGGTTCGAGTTTGAGGAACTCGAACTACTAACCGGTTCGAGTTTAGGAGACTCGATCTAGTCGTAGATCGATGATATAAGCCTCGAACCATGTGGAGCTGAAGTGGTTCGAGTTCAGTGAATTCGAACCACTCCTTTGAAATTTCCAACAACCTTAACTTTGTGCTCGGTTATCCGATCGTAGCAAAAAAAAATTTCATTTCGCATAACTTTTCGAGGACTACAACTTTTATAATAGAAATATTTTCAGAATATATGTGAAAATGTGAAAAATAAAGTTAAATGTACTCCCAAACCACCTTATATTAAAAACTATTCCTATTTTGAAAATTTATTCCTAGTAAATGTTGTAGTACTCAAAAAATTATGCAAAAAAAAAAAAAACTTTGCGACGTTCGGATTGCGGAGCACAAAGTTATGATCCTCCAAAGTTTGACAAATTCGAAAATTTGCTCGATTATGGGTAGCAAATGACGTTTTTTAGGAAGATAGCCATCCAAAAATTTCTCGTTTGGAAAAATATTGCTCTTTTGGCAGAAATTCTCTATATATAAAAAAATTTCCCGTGTCTTCGCCCCGAGAAAATGTCATTTGTTACCCCTAAATGAGCAATTTTTCGATTTAGCCAAACTTTAGAGGATCATAACTTTGTGCTCCGCAATCCGAATGTCGCAAAGTTTTTGTTTTTGTTTTTTTTTTTTTTTGCATAACTTTTTGAATACTACAACATTTACTAGGAATAAATTTTCAAAATAGGAACAGTTTTTAATATAAGGTGGTTTGGGAGTAAATTTAACTTTATTTTTCATATTTTCACATATATTCTGAAAATATTTCCATTATAAAAGTTGTAGTCCTCGAAAAGTTATGTGAAATGAAAAAAAAGTTTGCTACGATCGGATAACCGAGCACAAAGTTAAGGTTGTTGGAAATTTCAAAGGAGTATCATCGATCTACGACTAGATCGAGTCTCTTAAACTCGAACCGGTTAGTAGTTCGAGTTCCTCAAACTCGAACCACTCCAAACTTAGGTATTTTGGGGAATTTTTTTAAAAGTGTGGTAGTTTAGGAATTTGTTTTAGTTTTATCTGTATTTAGGGAATTAATCCTGGGATAATGAGGTCGGGAGCAGCTATGGCGACGGTGGCAGTCTGGTTATCTCTCGCCGCCGCCGTGGCATCCGCCGCTAACACGGATGCTTCCTGGTGGGCTTACACTCACGTCCGCGTGGTGAAAGAGTTCAGCGGCGGCCGGATGTTGACGGTGCACTGCAAGTCCAAGGACGACAACATGGGAACGCACTGGGTTGGGCCCAAGTCGGAGTACGAGTGGAGGTTCCGGCCCAGCATCTTCGGGAACACGCTGTTCTGGTGCCACGTTTGGAAGGGCGACGACAGCCAGATCGTTTACGACGCCTATTACGCCGGCGACGACAAACTGTACGACAGGGTCTACATGGACAACTCCTATTGGGTGGTTAAGGACGACGGCCTCTATTTGCGTCAGTTTTGGAAAGGGATAGACGTCTTCTTCCATCACTGACGGCGGGGACAACAACAATAACTCGTCCTCGCATTCCGACGAAGACATGGGTCCAGCTCGACGTCGTCACTATTAGAGAAATAAAATAATTTCTATTTATTTATTTCTTCTGTTAGTTTCGTGTATAGAGTTTTGTTAGTTACAAACGCTCTTCTGTTAGCTACAATCTCTCCTCCTCTCTAGCATCCCACTTCTCACGATCTACCCAGAATGTATTAATTGTATATATTTCTCAGTTGTTCCCAATACAATATTCAGAAAACCTTTCCTGCATTTTGTCTTTCAGTCACCTGATTTGAAGAACCTGGGGTCGACGGAGGAGACTTCAGCGATGACGACGATGATGCAATTCGTGGAGTTGTCTGGTGAGAACGAGAAGCTGAAGAAGGACAACGAGCTGCTGAGCTCGGAGCTTGTCAGCAGGCGAAGAAGCAGTGCGGCGAGTTGATTGCCTTCCTGACGGGTTACGTCAAGGTCGGGCTGGAGTAGATCCACCGCATCATGCGGCAAGGGGAAGCTTGCTCCTGGTCCAGCAGCGATGAAGTTGCGCTGGCGGCAGATGGCGGGCGCCAAGATGATGACGATGAAAACAGGAAATCGGAGGATTGCAACGATTACGACATCGGCGGTGGCGGTCTGAAGCTGTTCGGTGTGCTTGAAGAAGAGGAGAGAGAGGAATGGCGATTAAATGTGGAAAATAATAATTAACGACCTGTGATTTTCTTTTTAAAATTTTATGATAATTAGGTAAAAATAAAAAATAATTATTTTTATTATTTTTTAATTGTCACGTCACTCATTTAACGGTCAACTATAAGAGTTGACCGCCACATCAGCAAAAGTTAACGGAGATTAACGGCCAGTGACCAAACATGAACTGTTAACCTAATTTAGGTGACTAAGGATGGAATAAATTAATTTGAGTGGCAAACGTGAAATTTTGTATCAATTCGAGTGACCAAACTTGCAATTAAGCCCAATAAAAACAGAATTAGCTTTGCACTAAGTGAGACGATGACACTCTGTTCTCTTCTCTGTCCTTCTTCTTTTTTTGTAACAAAACAGACACCAATGGTGTCTAAGCACTACAAATAACAGAACGTTCTTGGGACAAACCCATTACATCATACAATAACCAGTACCGAAGTCCTGGGTCATTTGAGTCAACAAAATGTGTGCCAAAATGCAGACTATGCCCTTTCTTGGCTAGAAAGTCAGCAGCAAAATTGCACTCTCTATAGGTGTGGGAGATAGAGACTTCCCAGTTCAATGAAAGCAGACGATTGATTTCCAGGGCAAGAATGTCGTGTCTGTGATCAGTATCCTGCACATTTTGAATGATGTTGATTGCCGTAGTAGAATCCAGGCAGAGGATAACACGCCGGAATCCCCTTCTCCATGCTGCAGAGAGCCCCGCTTCCACTGCTTTTAATTCTGCTCCCGGATTGAACAGGAACCCAGGTTGATTGCAAAGGCCTCAAGGCAACGACCTAATGGATCTCTGATGAGGCCTCCTGGCTCCTGCTGCAGCTTTGTCTTCTGCAAACACAGACCCGTCAGTGTTGATCTTCACCCATCCCTCCTGTGGGGAGTCCATCTCAGACTCTGAGTCTCCTTTCTAATGGGCTCCTCACTGCAAATCTTATTGTTCAGGACTTGTGATTGTCGAACAATGTTAAAATAAGCAAGAATCCTGTGCAGGAGGCTCTGCTTGTTGAAAGCTTTCTCCTCCATTGCTTCTTCATTTCTCGGTTTCCAAATCTGCCAAAGGATGATGCCAAAATCAATACCCTTCTCCTCGCATTTGATATTCCTGACCAGCCACTGCTTGAAGGGGGTGGACTGGCTTTGTTCAGCGACAGAGTGTCTAAGCATTCTCCATAAGTTCTCCATCTTCTTGCACTTGCGTAGGACGTGTTCGACTGATTCTTCCTCGCCATTACATGCCGTGTGTGGGCACTTTCCGTCAGTTGTAAGCTTCCTTCTCACTCTCTCTTGATTCGTCAGCAATCTCCCGTGTAGTGTCAGCCAAAGGAAGAACTTGATTCTATTGGGGCCTTTCCACCTCCAGAGTTGCTTCCAGTCCCCTTCATGCTCCTGCTCCAGCTCCAGCTCCAGCTCGTTCGCCACCAGATAATACGCGGATTTGAGACGAAATCGCCCATCAGGTTTGATGCCCCAAATCGTAGTATCCTCACCCAGGTCAGGCTTAGGGGTTGGGGTACCTGCAATAAGAGAAAGTAGATCGTTAGGTAGCTTGCCAGCAAGCTTTTCCCAATCCCATTCTCCCGAACTCGTAGCCCAATTGCATACGGGTTCTTCCCTTTCATGTTCTGGAATATCCACGAGAAGGAAATCTTCCAGGACCAGCCCTGCCTCCAACCACGGATGTGTCCAAAAGCTAGTGCTTCGTCCATTTCTCATACTCCAACACGTAGCAGACTTCATCAATGGCATAGCTTTGAGGATCTCCTTCCAGAGTGGTGAGTGATTACTCTTCTTCATTGAGGTGATCTTCCCATCCCTATGCTTGAAGTATTTTCCCTGGAAAACCTGGACCCATAAGGAATTCTCATTATTCAAAATCTGCAGGCCAACTTGACCATGAAAGCCATGTTGAGGCTTCTGGCAGATCTAATACCCAAGCCCCCCTGGTCCTTTGGTTTACAAAGGTCCTCCCATTTGACAAGGTGGGTTTTTCTTTTGCCATCATGAGAACCCCACACGAAACCCCTAATCTTCTTATCAATTTCATCACAAACAGACATAGGAAGAAAAGAGGTTTGCATGGCATAAATCGGAATAGCATTCAAGACAGAAATGGCAAGGGTGGCTCTCCCTGCCAAGGAGAGGGTTCAAGATTTCCACGAGCTCAGTTTAGAGTCAATAGTTTCAAGAATGTATCTGTAGGTATTTCTAGTGACTCTACCGTGTAAAACAGGAACTCCAAGGTATTTTCCTAGGTCATTGGTACTCTGGATACCAAGGCGGTTACAAATGCAAGTTCTATCAAAGGTTTTCACATTCTTAGAGAACAGCACACGAGACTTTTCTTTGCTTATGAGCTCACCCGAAGCCTCACAGAACTGCTCAATGCATTCCATGACCACCTCAGCTTGTCTGAGGCTAGCTTCAGCAAAGATGACAAGGTCATCAGCAAAGAAAAGGTAGGAAAGTTCAGGTCCTTTACAGGACAGCTTCAATGGTTTCCATCTACCATTCCTAACCTCCCTAAGAATGCAATGCCCTAATCGTTCAATGCAAAGAGTAAAGAGATAGGGTGATAGTGGACATCCCTGTCTTAAGCCTCTGTTGGGTGTGAACTTGTCTGTCTCTCCTCCATTCCAGAGAACTTGCAGTTCTGTGGTGGTGACACAGCTCATGATAAGTCTGATTCCATCATTTGGAATCTTGGCCGCATAAAGTGTTTCTTCAAGAAACCTCCAGTCTAGCCTATCGTAAGCTTTAGCAAGGTCTATCTTGAGCAGCATAGCGCCTTTCTTCCCCGTTCTATTGGACATTGAGTGAACAGTCTCCTGCAAAATTAGGATATTGTCAGATATATGTCTGTTAGGAACGAAACTTGACTGATTGGATTTCACAAGTTGGGGCATGAGAGGCTTAATCCTGTCAGCAAGGCACTTGGCCACCACTTTGTAAGACACGTTACAAAGGCTAATGGGGCGAAACTGATTCATGGAGCAAGGGGCCTCCACTTTCGGGATCAGGGCCAGGAGGGTTTCGTTGATGCTCTTGATACGTTCAGGGTTAATGAAGCAGGAGGCAATGAACATGCTGAAGTCAGGGCCAACAACATCCCAGCACTTTTGGTATAAGATGGCATGAAAGCCATCTTTGCCTGGTGCCTTCAGTCCTCCCATCTTAGACACAATCTGCTTCACTTCAAGCAGGATGGGAGGTTCACTTCAGGGAAGTCAGCTGCAATGGATGACTTCTCCTCCCCTTCTTCCCTTGTGTACAGCTTCACAAAATAGTCCCTAGCCATCATCTGGAGTACCTCAGGGTCAGTGATCCATTGGTTTGCATCATTCTTCAACCCTTTGATCTTGTTTCTTTTCCTTCTAGTTATTGTGCTCGTGTGGAAGAACCTAGTGTTCTGATCTCCTTGACCGATCCAAGTTGCCCTAGATTTTTGCAGCCACAGGACTTCTTCTTGCCACAGGGTTTCTTCCAACTCTTCCCTTATTCTCTGCTCAGCAAGAAGGGAGTGGTTGGTGGGATTCCTTTTGTTTTTCCATTCCAGGGAGTTAAGCTTGTTAGCCAAAGCTTTCTTCATTTTGAAGATGTTTCCGAAGACCTCTTTGTTCCACTCTTTAATCTTCTCAGTAAGGACCTGCAGGGAAGGAAGAAATTCAAAGTCGTTCTCATTCCAAGAATCAGAGACAAAAGGTTTAAACTCATCATGGCTAAGCCATGAGGCCAAGAATTGGAATCTTCTCACCAGATTGCTCTTTTCCACCGGTCCATCACTGCAGGTGAGGATAGGTCTATGGTCTGATCTGATCTTTGTGAGGTGGTAGGTTGTTGTTTCCGGGAACTTTGCTGCCAAGCCACATTACAGAGACTCCAATCCAGTCTTTCTTTGATTTTTGACTTGCTTGTAAACCAAGTAAAGCTAGGGCCAGTGAACCCTAAGTCAAGGAGGCCACATTCTTCAATGCAGTTGTTGAAGGCTTTCACCTTTGATGGATTGAATCTAGCTCCTCCTTGCTTCTCAGAGGGTTTGGTTATGGAGTTAAAATCTCCAAACAACAACCAAGGTAGTTTGGTTTGCCTGCTGATGCTGCAGAGTGCATCCCAGAGCTTCGTTTTCTCAAACTCGTTCGGGCTGGCATAAACTGCAGTCATGTAGCATTCCGGGACTCCTTCCATACTACACTTGAAGTGGATGAATTGGTTCTGTATGTCAACATTAGTAACCTTGGTTGAGGTACTGTCGTAGAGGATCCATATTCCCCCACTATAGCCCCTTGCATCAGAAACTTTCCATGAATCAAAGCCTAGGGTCTTGATGACATCAATGGCATCAACACCGCTAATTCTAGGCTCAACAATACATACCACATTCGGTTTGTACTGACTCTTGTAGAACTCAAAAGAAGACCTAAACTTGGGGTGTCTCGCCCCTCTGCAGTTCCAGGAAAATACCTTAATCATTGGAAAATGACAAGCGTGGTTTCCCTGCAGAAAGCCAGGGGTGATATTCAGGCAATGTCGACGGCCATCGTCGTCTCCTCTGCTCCCATGTCAACTCCTCCTTTGTGAGTATCCGAGGGAGGGATATTTTCTTATCCTTGTAAAGCATCCTCCATGCCAACATCGAAGTCCAGCTTCCTAGGAGGTAACTCCCCTGGATCAGGGGGTTTGCTTTTGGCTTCTTTCACACTTTCTTTCTCCTGTCTGTTCGGGTTTGAAACAAGGGTTGGGGATATTGGTTTCTCCTTCCCCATGGTCAAACCTTTGAGGTAGTGTGGTTTGTGCCCCTGGTTCTTGATCCCCATTATCTCCTTTCCTTTGGCATTAGCCCCTTCCCCCTTAACAGTTGGTGAGCTTCTACTCGCACTTTGACTTTGCTCATTCATCTTGGGTTTAGGCTTCGTCACCAGGGGAACGGTTGCAGGCTTAGTCTTCTGCTTTTGGTTAATCCCCGGAGTCTTCTGGTTTTCCTTCTTGCCCTGAGTTTTGATCTTCATGATCTTCTCTGTTGTGTTCTTGGTCTTGTCCTCCTCATTTTCCTTGGTAGATCTTTCCTTTTTACTTGTAGCATTTTCCCCACTCAAATTCTCTGGTACTTTCTCCACCACGTTCTCCTTGCTCTGTTGATGTGTCTGTTGTCCCTTTTCCGATTCCTGGCTTTCCTCCATCGCTTCGTTAAGGACACTGAATCTAGACCCTTCCCTCTGCGTCTCTTTCTGGTTACCCCTAGTCTTCACAGAAGAAGCTTGCTCAGCCTTCTTACTCTTCTGAATTGGTTTTCGTGTTGGTCGAGACACTATCATCCAAGGTCCGAAGTCTTCAAGAAGTTCAGGCCTGATGTTGTTCATTTCCGCTGCCTGCTGTGTTTCTTTTTCCCCACTTGTGTGCACACTTGGTTCATTAGCTGCTGCTGGTATTTTTTCTGGACAGGCATCCAAGAAGTGTCCATACTTTCCACACTCAAAGCAAATTTCATGGAGCCCCTCATACTCAACTCGTCGCACACGCTGCTTCAGTCTGTATTTGGGGACAAGCCTCTTTCGTAAATCAATTTCCGCACATAGCCTGGCATAGTTTCCTCTAACCCCATTCTCTGTGTTATAATCAATCTTCTCCAGCCTACCCAGCTTGTTACCAATATCAGTTAAGATGTCTTCATCGAAGTAAGCTAGTGGGAGTCTAGGGAGTCTTACCCAAACACTCATTCTGTTGATAGTGTCGAAATCTGGGTCGAAGTCCAACCGCCAAGGCTCTGAGACGATCTAGTGGTTGTCTATCGTCCAGGGGCCTCCATAGAGGGCTCGATCATGATCGAGTTGGGTATCAAAGATTGCCTGGTAGAAGCCATTGCCGATATCCCCAATCTTCACCCCTCCCGTTCTTGCCCACAAGTTTCGCACTCGCCTGTGGATGTAGGGGAAAGAGAAGTTCTTCCCCAACACTTTGAAGGTGATCGCTCGCTGCCATCTGTACCGGATCCTCGCATCGGTCTTTTTCTTCACCCGGATCGTGGGGCAGTCCGGGTCATCGTCGCCATCCTCTCCCTCTGATTCATCGGACATGAGGTCCTCCCCATTAGGGATTTCCGGCATCGGTGAGTTCCCCAGCACGAAGTCCTTGTAGGAGGCTCGGGGGGAAGCATTGAAATTGTTAGCTTCAGCTCGTGGCTCTTGGTTCATCTTCTCCTTATTCTCCGTTTCCATTTCCGCATCTTCAATCTGGGCAGAGTTCTCTCTTGCAGTGACGACGGCGAATTGAGCCGTTCCTTCACCCGAAAATCCCCCATCGCTTGAGCATCTTGACTTTTTGCTGGGTTGGATGGGTGTCTTCGCAGGGGATCCATCAGGAGGCTTCAAGTTGTGGCAGATTTCCTCTGCCAACGGCTCCAAGCTTGCCATGAAAAGTGAAAACAACCGTTGTTGGAGGAGAGAGGGCAGAGAAGAATCTCCCTCTACCTTTCCCATTCTCTCTCTTCTTCTCTGTCCTTCTGTTGATGCATAGATGAATGATGTCGTGTCAATGGGTATAAAGCGCCGAGCAAGGTTCGATCCTCCAGTCCAGCAATCAGCCCTAATCCTATGTTACAGAGAAACGAGAGAAACCGGTATGACCATGAAAGCGTGGAGAGAAAGGACAAAAACCGGAGGAACAATGGCCGAATATGGGCCAATTAAGCAATTGCCATGCCAAGTGTATCTCCGGACTCATGAGGTATGAAAACGCTGTAAACTTGAGAGGCTCCATTTCCAAGCTCTGTTTCCTTTGATCTTTCCGCCCGCCCACCCGACCGACACTCTCCATTCCTTTCTTTCTTTTGTCCAGCTATTAAGATAGCAAAACAAGCCTCGTCCTGCCCTCGTCCCCGATTATTCCCGCCGTCTAATCTATCAATGCTGCTCCATTGAAGCCTTTCTTCCCCGTTTGGCCGTTTCCCCTAAGGTGAAACCAACTCCCTGCCGTCTCTCTGTTTCCCTTTTCCTCAGATGGGGTTTCTATGGGTTCATCACCACTCACTGGCGTGATTTGTTTTTTCTCTCTCTTTCAATTGTCTTCATCCTAGGATAAGAAGTTTCGACTTCTTTGAAAAAGGAAAAAAAGGAGAGACCATGAGCGTGTACATCATTGGGGCTATTGTCCCGCTGGTGGTGACCCTTCTTCTCCGGAAGAATTCTAACAACGGCAAGAAACGCGGCGTCCCAATCGACGTCGGCGGCCAGGATGGGTACGCAATTAGGAACGCCGGATTCCCTACCCCGCTCGAGACGGCCTGGGAAGGAGTCTCCACTCTGGCCGAGCTCTTCGAGTCCGCTTGCAAGAGGCACGGGAACAAGAATTTGCTTGGGACCCGGAAGTTGATTTCCAGTGAGGTTCTAGTTAGTGGAGATGGGAGGTCCTTCGAGAAGCTTCACTTGGGAGAGTACGAGTGGCTCACTTATGCTGCAGTGTTTCAGAGAGTCTCCAATTTTGGTTATGGGTTGGCTCAACTTGGGCATCTGAGGGACGAGCGAGTCGCCATTTTTGCTGATACCAGAGCTGAATGGTTCATTGCGTTGCAGGTTGTTCTTCTTTCTGTTTTTGCCTTTACATGCATGTCTTTCACTGTCTTCAATGATGGATTTGAATGCGTATGGTTCTATCTTATAATATTTTTCTGGATATGCTTTCAGGGTTGCTTTAGGCGTAATGTCACAGTGGTCACCATCTACTCTTCACTGGGGGAAGAAGCTCTCTGCCACTCATTGAATGAGGTTCTCTCTCCCCTTCTCTATTGTTTATATACTTTTGAGTTTCGATCAAGCAGAATATGGACGTAACGAGCTGAACTTTCTTTCTGTTTGCTAGTCTTTATTGGGGAAAAAGAGTACCTCGCTTGTTGGTATCGAGTTTGTAGCCTAGAATGCAATTTAAGCTGAGATAGATACTACTGTATATCTCATTTGTCTTAAATTGCATCAGAATAAAAGGGTTAATTTTCGTTCCGAAGTGTTATTCGAAGTAAGAATCTCTACTAATCTGCTTGGCTGTTTGTTCCCTAGCAGACACCGTTTGGTGGAAATGAAGTTCAGGTGTTTCGGTTTACTTTTAGCTGTACAAACCAATTCCCAAATGGAATTGAAATACATTAGTGATAGTTGGCTCGCTACTCTTCCTTTTACCCTGTTCTGTGGTATATGAATCTAATGACATCTGTTTGCGTCCTTGATCCTCAGACTGAAGTTACCACTGTGATTTGCGGGAGCAAGGAGCTGAAGAAACTTGTTGAGATAAGTGGGCAACTCGACACCGTGAAACGGTTGATATGTATGGATGACGATGTTCCTTCTGTTGAATCTCCACTGGAGCAGAGTGGGCGGTGGACAGTTAAGTCGATGACCAGTGTGGAGAAACTGGGGCAAGATAATCCTACGGGGGCTGATTTGCCTCTGCCTGGTGATGTTGCTGTCATCATGTATACAAGTGGAAGTACTGGGTTGCCAAAGGTTTTATCTTTCTATCTTTGTTTTTTTGTTCTTGTCCTTTATCTTACTTTTGTCTTGTTCACAGATGTCTATGTTACTTTAACATTCAATACGAGTCTCGGATCTTTGGCCAGAAGGTCAGCTGGAACATTAGCTGAATCTTCCCTAACTAATGAGTTGCACGATATACATTTTAGTCGAAATAGTTCCAGAAATTTAAGCTTTTCAAGCTTTCTCAACATTTGTTTGCTTACATATGCAACTTCTCTAACTTATTCTTTTGTGTGCCATTTATGTACCTATTTATGCAGGGAGTAATGATGACACATGCTAATGTCCTGGCTGTAGTTTCTGCTGTCAGGACCATTGTTCCTGGCCTTGAGAGTAATGATGTTTATCTCGCCTACCTTCCATTAGCCCATATACTCGAATTAGCAGCTGAGGTAGACTGATTGTTTGCGCAACTATCTATATAAGAACTAGATTAGACGGAGTTTTATGTCTAATTGATTGTTGTTACTATTTGAAACTACAGAACATAGTTGCTGGTGTGGGAAGTGCTATAGGATATGGAAGTCCTTTGACACTTACCGATACTTCAAACAAGATAAAAAAGGGAACCAAGGGGGATGCTTCTGCATTGAGGCCAACTGTGATGGCAGCTGTTCCAGCAATTCTCGACCGTGTTCGAGATGGCGTGCGTAGTAAGGTACAGTGAGTGTTCGGCATTCTCTCTCATTTTGTATAATTTAAATTGTAATTTATTCAAGTATGACTTTTTATACTTGATATTAATTTGATCTTCAGGTAGATGCAAAAGGTGGATTGGCCAAGTGTCTATTTGACTTGGCATACAATCGCCGGCTCTCAGCAGTGAATGGGAATTGGTTTGGAGCTTGGGGACTAGAACTGCTTCTGTGGAACCTGTTAGTTTTCAAGAAGGTGCGGGCAGTTCTGGGAGGCAGAGTACGGTTTTTGCTTTCTGGAGGTGCTCCTCTTTCTGGTGATACTCAAAGATTTATCAACATTTGCCTTGGGTTAGTATGCTATTTAAGCGACAATTAGCTGATCTTTTGTTTGTTAATGGGTGATAGATTCTCCACACTCTGCTGATTTATTGATATTTTTAACTGTACATTATTACTTATAATCACTAGTCATTAATGTAAATGAAAATGAACAGTTACAGAAAAGGGTTCAAGAAATGTTTCAGTTTTATCTCTGCAGATTGATAATATTCTTGTCACATTAAAATTCACTCTGAACATTATAGAAGAAACTTGAACAATGGTTTTCTTGGGCGTAACTTTATTTTCCTCGGTTATTCCCATCTCTGAACGGGCAAATGCATGTACAGAGCTCCAATTGGTCAAGGTTATGGTCTTACTGAGACTTGTGCTGGTGGGACCTTTTCTGAGTTCGATGATACATCTGTTGGTCGAGTTGGCAATCCACTTCCATGCTCGTATATAAAGGTTAGGGGGTACTGGAATGACTTCCCTCCATCTTTCATTCTCAAGATACTTGCTTTGTGTTCGTTTCTGGTTAATGTTGCGGTGACATAATTTATCTTCCAAGAACCATTTCTGCAATCATGATTCTTGCTGTTAACTTACTTGAAGTCTGATTTGTTTTCCATATGATGTATCGTTCTTGATTCAGTTGGTGGATTGGCCAGAAGGTGGATATTTGATTAGTGATTCACCTAAGCCTCGTGGTGAAATAGTCATTGGTGGTCCTAATGTCACCCTTGGATACTTCAAAAATGAAGAGAAATCAAGAGAAGTCTACAAGGTAAGAAATTCTAAATCAAAGCTCTTCTTCCAACTGCCTTTGAAATGCAAAAAATTTTCATCAACGAGAAATTATCAACCATGTCGATTCGTTTGGTATTTCGGAGAAGGTTGATCAGAAAGGCATGAGGTGGTTCTACACAGGTGACATTGGTCAGTTCCATGCTGATGGATGCCTCGAGATAATTGACCGCAAGAAGGATATAGTCAAACTTCAGCATGGGGAGTACGTCTCCTTGGGAAAAGTATGCATCTCTCGATCTCTGACTGACCCCCCTAAAGAAACCACACTTCTTTTTCCCTGCTGCCAACTTTCACCTGCTGACTAGTAGTCTCCCTTCCCCTCTTTCTCTTTTTTCCTACAGATTGAGGCTGCTCTTATGGCAAACTCCTATGTCGACAACCTGATGATGCATGCTGACCATTTCATAGTTACACTGTGGCTCTAGTTGTGCCATCTCAGTCCGCCCTTGAAGAATGGGCTGCAAAGCAAGGAATAAACTATGCTGGTTTCTCGGATCTGTGTGACAAGAAAGAGACAGTGCAAGAAGTGCAAGCTTCTCTTGTGAAGGTACACACCATTTTGATGTTGGATGTGATGTTTAATGTATGATTAGATTTGATGATGATGTTACCTTAATCTCCTTTTCTTTGTTGCATGATTAGGAAGCTAAGAAGGCGCGGTTGCAGAAGTCTGAGATCCCGGCAAAAATAAAGTTGCTTTCAAATCCATGGACTCCTGAGACTGGGTTAGTCACTGCAGCTCTCAAGATTAAGAGAGAAGCCATCAGGAAGGCCTTCTCTGAAGAGCTATTAAAGCTATATGAATCGTGAAGAAAATTTTGTTGGAAGCTAGCTGGCTATGACAATTGTCGCTGAGTTTTGTTGCCCTGTGAACTAGTTTCTCATTTTGTAGGGATACTGTTTAGGTTGCCTTTGCAATTTTTGCTGCTTCTCTACTCATATCTGCTTACTTGGGCGCATTTCTGGCCGTCCCACAGTTGTTTATCAACATTAGGGTTTTTTCCCAAACTTTAGTTACTGAAAAAATTCCAACAGTGTCATAGTTGCACTAAAATTTACCAAAATACTAAAATTTAGAATGGTTTGCTGTTCACTGCGCTGAAGTTAAGTGTGGATCAACAAACAGTAGCGTGATTAGTTTTGTTTCGCTGCAAGCTTAAGCGAACTACAACTTGTTTATTTAAAAGAGTAACGTTCCATGTGGTTCGCACGGGCAACACACGATTGTTTGAGACGGGCGAAGCGGATCGCTTTAGCGTAGCGCGATATGCGATGTGTGGTTGTTGATCGCGACCGATGGTTGGTCTGTGGGGTCGACGTAGATCGCTGAAGTGGGTAGATGACCTAATAAGTACTCCATCACATACATTCCACCTTGGTTGAGAGGTGGTGGAAGGAGATACATGCGTTCCACCTTGTCGAGGGAGACGTCGCCCTCCTCACCGAGCTACAAATCGTTGGAGAGGCCATAATCAAGAATTCGAAGCTCCCGACTCAAGGTTTGGGGGGGCATTGATATTTGAGCATTTGGGTATCAATGTGTCGACGGAGAAAACGGCCGGAGGACTAGTTCAATGGTCATGCAACTAGCCTTCCTCCTAGCACGAGTCCCCGACCCAATGTCACCTCGATCAGGTTCATGATGCTAGGGATGCATTCTAGACCCTTCCAATAGGTTCAACCTATCTGCACACTAGATCGACATGTCGATGGTCACACACGCATCGCTCTAGCATTACATAGGATGGCTTCTCGGTTAGCAGGGTTGGTCACCTCGTCCACCAATTGGGTCCCTAGATCATTCGTCTAGTCCTAATTAGCTAAGACGCTCAAATTTAGTCTAGATCATGCACTCCTAAGTGATAGGCTACTATGAAAAGAGCTAGAGAGACAAGCCCATGCATAATTAATCATAGATGAAGCATATAATCACTAGACAAACAAATACCATACACAAACCCTAACAAAATTCCATATACATTCACAAACCTAATTCTAAGGTTTGGGGATTAAACACCGTGTACCTTAGAGAAATACCCCATAAAGGGAAAGAAGATATATAAGAAGAATTAGAAGAAGAATTGAGTAGGGGAAGAGTTTCCTTGCTTCTTGGTTTCTCCTTCTTCTCCTTCCTTTAGCTTCTCTCTCAAAACTACAAATTTTCCAAGTGATTTCACCTCTCTTGTAAAGTGGCCCCCTATTTATAGAGTTCAGGCTGTCGAGCAAAGATCGCGGGCGTGATCTTTGGGGGAGGTCACGACCTCGGAAGCTGCTCTTTTACGCTTTGTTAAATGGGAAGTTCGCGGCTTGATATCACGGTCGTGATCCGGGATGTCACGACCGCAATCTTTATTGCGGGCATGGACAACGAGAGCTCCGAGTCGAATGTCGAAACTCTCTAGTCCTCCCTTGGTGGTTGCTTATGAAATTCGCGCCCATGTTTCCAATCTTCACGCCTCGATCTCGGCAATGGCGGCCGCGATCTGCGTGCTTAACTTCACGTCCTCACTTCATGTCTGTGATCTCCTTACTCTTGGTCATGATCTCCCATTTTTGCACATAATCCTACACCTGTGATCCCTTTTCGTACGTAAAACTTTCATATCATCTAAAACACTCTAATATGACAATATTCTCTTCGAGTAACGAATAAAGAATGTATTTAATGACATATCAACCAATGAGACCAAGAAATGACTCGAACGATCCTAAATATGAAGGTAAATAACACCATTTTGAGTGTTATCACAAATATGATTTATGTGCCATACCTAAAGTTTATGCATTATAAACATACATATAACACATATATCAGTAATCAAATATAAATTACTTTAAGGTTCGAAATATGAATTAGTTTGTTGAACTATATTCAAATTTGTTGATTATTTTTCGTTGGTCTTGGAACTAAATATCGATGATGAAAGCAACAACGATTCACATTTTATACCTCGATCTCAACTAGAGCAATAAATAATGTGTAAGTTGTATCAAGTAAAGGGTAAGTAACATAATACGCGAACCCGAACAACCCGCAACCTAATCCGCCCGACTCGTAACCTGAATAACGCAAAACGCGATCGATCTGCAACCCGACTAACTCAAAATCAGATTGATCGACAACCCGACTGACCCACAACCTGATGAACCCGATACTCGATTGGCCCGTAAACTGAAGAACCCAAAACCCGACTAAATTGTAACAACATTGAAACCAAACTCGAACCAGCTCAAAGCCGTCCGATTGAATCAGTTCTAAATCCTTAATTCTACATCTATCCCCAATGATGAAATCCTAGACAGAGACACCTAAATCCATAATTTATATTTTCCCCCCATAATTTTCATGCCTATTGGTTGATATGTTGTGTGGGGCTATAGTTCCTACGATAGATGGGAGCAGATCCAGTGAGTAACCTTGTGGTGAGTAACCCCATGCATAACCCAATAAGAATCTGCCACATCAGCGCCTCCTTCTCTCTTTTGGAAAAATCATTAATTTTCTTTCCCTTAATCTTTAACGGACGATTTCTCACTCGTTTTAACTCGGAATTTTTTTTTTTTTTTTGCACAGTTAGATAAGATTAATTGTGTTCTTCAAAATGATATCCACTTTGATATTTTTTGGAACAAAAAAATTTGCCAGTTATTACCAGTCTATACCGTATGGTATAGTCAATACCATATGGTGTTGACTGGTATTAAATAACAGCATATGCCAGTTATTACCAGTCTATACCGTATGGTATAGTCAATACCATATGCTGTTATTTAATACCAGTCAATACCGTATGGTATTAAATAACAGCATACCATATGGTATGAAAAATACCACCTCATACCAGGGAGGTATAATATGGTATGAAGTTGGTAACGAGAGGTTTCAAATTTTTTCCCCCAGAAAATTTTGAAATCCAATAGATCAATGATTAAATCGTTCCTTTTGTGCAAAAATTTCCGAAAATGACTAAACAACGAAGAAGATACTATATGGTATGGAGTTGGTAATGAGAGGGATGAAAAAAATAATTCTCAACAAATATTGAAAATGAATATCATTTTGTAGAGCACAACGAACTCGTTCCATCTATGCAAAAAAAAAATTGAAATCCGAGTTAGAATGAAGAAGATATGATCCAATTAAGAAAACTAGGGAAAATAAATTCATTTAATTCTCCACCCTTGGATCTGCAATCACTTAAAAGAAGGGTCCAGATTTGGTTACTCATTGTTACTCACCCTATCTTGAGCCCGATAGATCGTCCAAATAGAGTGGCAAATTGGCGGAAGCAGATCCGGTGAGTAACCTTGTGGTGAGTAACCTCATGCATAACCCAATAAGAATCTGCCACATCACTGCCTCCTTCTCTCTCCTGGAAAAATCATTAATTTTCTTTTCCTTAATCTTTAACGGATGATTTCTCACTCGTTTTAACTCGGAATTTATTTATTTTTGCACAATTAGATAAGATTAATTGTGCTATTCAAAATGATATCCACTTTGATATTTTTTGGAACAAGATAATTTTGCCAGTTATTACCAGTCTATACCATATGGTATTGACTATACCATATGGTATTGACTGGTATTAAATAACAGCATATCATATGGTATGAAAAATACCAGTCAATACCATATGTTGTTATTTAATACCAGTCAATACCATATGGTATTAAATAACAGCATACCATATGGTATGAAAAATACCACCTCATACCAGGGTGGTATAGTATGGTATAGAGTTGGTAACGAGAGGTTTGAAATTTTCCCCCCCAGAGGATTTTGAAATCCAATAGATCATGATTAAATCGTTCATTTTGTGCAAAATTTTCCGAAAATGACTAAACAACGAAGGAGATACCATATGGTGTGGAGTTGGTTACGAGAGGGATGCAAATTTTTTTTCTCAAAAAATATTGAAAATGGATATCATTTTGTAGAGCACAACGAACTCGTTCCATCTGTGCAAAAAAAAATTGAAATCCGAGTTAGAATGAAGAAGATATGATCCAATTAAGAAAACTAGGGAAAATAAATTCATTTAATTCTCCACCCTTGGATCTGCAATCACTTAAAAGAAGGGTCCAGATTTGGTTACTCATTGTTACTCACCCTATCTTGAGCCCGATAGATCGTCCAAATAGAGTGGCAAATTGGCGGAAGCAGATCCGGTGAGTAACCTTGTGGTGAGTAACCTCATGCATAACCCAATAAGAATCTGCCACATCACTGCCTCCTTCTCTCTCCTGGAAAAATCATTAATTTTCTTTTCCTTAATCTTTAACGGATGATTTCTCACTCGTTTTAACTCGGAATTTATTTATTTTTGCACAATTAGATAAGATTAATTGTGTTCTTCAAAATGATATCCACTTTGATATTTTTTGGAACAAGATAATTTTGCCAGTTATTACCAGTCTATACCATATGGTATTGACTATACCATATGGTATTGACTGGTATTAAATAACAGCATATCATATGGTATGAAAAATACCAGTCAATACCATATGTTGTTATTTAATACCAGTCAATACCATATGTTGTTATTTAATACCAGTCAATACCATATGGTATTAAATAACAGCATACCATATGGTATGAAAAATACCACCTCATACTAGGGTGGTATAGTATGGTATGGAGTTGGTAACGAGAGGTTTGAAATTTTCCCCCCCAGAGGATTTTGAAATCCAATAGATCATGATTAAATCGTTCATTTTGTGCAAAATTTTTCGAAAATGACTAAACAACGAAGGAGATACCATATGGTGTGGAGTTGGTTACGAGAGGGATGCAAAAAATTTTTCTCAAAAAATATTGAAAATGGATATCATTTTGTAGAGCACAACGAACTCGTTCCATCTGTGCAAAAAAAAATTGAAATCCGAGTTAGAATGAAGAAGATATGATCCAATTAAGAAAACTAGGGAAAATAAATTCATTTAATTCTCCACCCTTGGATCTGCAATCACTTAAAAGAAGGGTCCAGATTTGGTTACTCATTGTTACTCACCCTATCTTGAGCCCGATAGATCGTCCAAATAGAGTGGCAAATTGGCGGAAGCAGATCCGGTGAGTAACCTTGTGGTGAGTAA